TGTGTTCTGCGACTTGGAATTAATAAATACTACAGTAGTACTCAACATTTGCATTTCAACCTTCTTTTACTCTGGCCTGATTATACCCAACCCTCCCTTTTCCTTTCCGTTCACCGACTCTTGCACCCAGCCGCGGTGGTTGGGTATGCAAAACCTGAGGGAGAGAAAGTCCGCGAGGAGACGGTTTCAGGAAAACACAAATGGAACCTAATTGCGACTTCTAATTGCGCGGCGAATCCACCTTGAGGCCTACCTATCGAAGCGAGACGGTGTTGACAAGCTGCTCAAAATCTCTCGCCAATCCACCAAGATCATTCTCCCTTCATCCCTCCTCCCTCCTGGTACTCCCTGTATCCCATCTCCTGGTGCTCCCCTCCCCTCACCTCGAGGCCTACCTATCGTCTTGCTTCTTTGCTTCAGTATTCTTTGTTGGATTTTAATTGCCTTCTGTTTACATTCGTACGTCTTCCCATCACTGTCTTTGTATTCTTTTTTATTTCTTTGTTATCTTTTGATTACAATGTGTTCGCTGAAATGTCCATGTGAAGTGTTCTAGGTAACTTGTTGTCGTTTACTACACTTGGGGACTGTTTAATTTCATATTTTCATTTCCCCCCTTCTTTGGGTTTGGTAACTATGTGGTTGCTGAAATGTAAAAAAATTCATATGTGGTATGCTGCATTTAGATATTAAGAGATGGTAAGGAATCCCATTTCACACTTAAGATGGCTACCATTATATTTTTTTGAAAGAAAAAAGCTAATTAATATGAACAATGCCCATTACTTGCCTAACTTACCCCATATTAAACATTCTGTTCAAGAAAGTCTGGCACGCAGCTATGGTTGTGAACGGTTAGCCAATTATATAGTATGTATTCATCAGCGTGATATCCATGTGAATAATGTGGACTGTTCATGTTTATTGTATACTGTTATTATTAAATATATATGTAACTATTCAATGATGAAATCAAGTTTTTATTTTCCATGAACTTATTATTCATGATCTTCGGTTGGTAGTTTGATATACATTTTTGCTGGCAACATATTAAACTCTTTGAATATCCCTCTCTCGGTGGAAACTATGTGTGTATTTACTGCTCTAATTTTCTCTGATTTTGCCTCTTGGGCAACCTACCTTTTGACAAAGGTAAAAGCCTTGATACTTGATTAATCTTTTTTGGTGTGATGACTTTTTTTTATACTTTTTTTTTGTACTCCGTTAGGGTGTGATGAGTGATGACATTGTTATATCCTTTAGGGTTATTGGTGATGCTTTTGTTGTTATTAGTTTATTTGGTTGAATAACTAGATTACTGTTATGATCTTTCATTCTTTCATAATGAGAGTTTCTGTTATGTGCAGGAAATTAAGGGAATGGGTGCAGGGCTAATGACTGATGTACTTTTGGGCATGATAATTTGCACTCCACTAAATCCATTGGCCTATTTTTTTTAATCATGAATAAGACACCCCTGGCATGCTCATTTGATTGTGGAAACTGGAAAATACTTCAAAACCATGTCACCCTTGAATGATAGTGGTGTATAAAGGAAACTTTGTTCTCTGCTGGGATCTGATTTTGAAATGGTAGATGATCAAGATAATTTTCAAGTTAAAAGGTGAAATTGTGGGAGGAGAACATTGGCTAGGATGGAAAGCTGGCTGCCATGTCCTTAAAATCACATCTTTGAGCAGCAAAAACAGCCTTTTATAGAAATATTATAAGGAAATACTGCATCATGTAACCTTAGTGGCATGACTCTTCCTGAATCAATTATCGAATTAACTACTAAGGCTTTATTGATTATAGAATACCCACACGTGACTCAATCAATTATCGAATTAACAACATAAATATTTGGATGGTTTAATCTAATTACCTAATGAACTTCAAAGAAAAAATTAGGAAATTTTGTCTCAAATACTTTTGATATTTGTCTTCTTTTTGTTCAATACTAAATGAACTTCAATAAATCTTATCCTATTACTACGGTTGTTATAGTCATCCTGGATGCTTTATTTTTCCACATAAAATTGGGTTATGAATATTTTATTCATTAAGTTTCTTTATCAATTTCTAACAAACAATGTATACAAATAGTTTACTCAATACTCCCATATTCACTCAACCAAATCCTGACCATAAATTAATATGCCTATAATAGTCTTGGGCATTTACACGAACGCGCATCGCGCGTTACTAAACTAGTACACAAAAGAAACAAAAAAGTTATCCGTATAAGGTAAGCATCTCAATCTCTTTGTATAAGTAAGTGAGACTAATAAAAGGGTATATGCGCATTTATCCCATAGCAGAACCAGGATCATGTGTTATCCAACATATAAATTATGGTAGAGAAGAATAGCTTGCTACTTGAGTTAAGGTCGGAGGGAGAATAATGAAATCAGAAAGGGAATAAGTTGCAAGCATTGTGATTTAGGGTAATTTATATTTTGGGACAGTTCGCCTGACTCAGTCCGATTTATGAATTTGTTATTTGGTTATTCCAATATCCACCAAGGGGGCAACAAGGGATAGTAGCCACCGTGGCCCACCATTCAGAACCCTCTTTTCCACCACCATTTCAAGGCACTCTGTTGGCCATGGCCACAATTTGGAAACACTGTATGAGAGGAAATTAATATTCAATGGTATGAAACTATGAAAGTATGAACAAGTTCACCTATTTATACCACAACAAATAGAAAATTGACCAAGTTCACTATTTTTAGGGTTAGGGTCTATATATCTCCTCATAATAAGCATCTTTGTGGTAGTTAATTGTCGCAGCCTTCTAAAGAAGGAAAATGATATGAAATTCCAAAAACGTCATCATTCCCCACTTGAGTAGAAAATGTCATGAGACAACAATGAGTTGAGATAATTGTTGAAGTTGTTTCCTTGAAATATTTGTATTGTTATCAACATGCACATCATAGAACATGACAAAAAATTGATATACCAGTTTTTGTAAATCTACAATTGTGAGTAAAATAGTTATATACTGCCACAAAACATTTTCATAGTAATATTATTTTCAATAATAACAAATATCCATTGGATCATTTCATTACTTTTACACAATAAAAAATTATAACAATAGAACTAATATTAAACATTTTGGTCAAAACTACTCTGTCATCCAATATTTTTTGTTTTTTTCTTCAATCCAAAGGAAGTAGAAGTAGAGTTATTCAAAATATTATAAACTATTTTTTAAATTGAAATTAAAATAGGATTAAAACATGAATATTGTTCTAAATTTTGATCAAATATAATTTCTTCTCGAATTAGGGCTTATTTAATGCAGTAAAAGAGTAGCAATAAAAATTCCAAAAAGTGAGTGAAAAATCCTAATTTAGGAAGAAAATAATGACACTCATAGGACATTGAAGGTTTTGAGTTGTATGTCAAATTAGAGAAGTAAAAATTATGTGATTGAATTGTAAGCATATATGAGAGAATAAATAAAAAACAAGTTAGCTATAAAAGGAAAATAATACCACGTACAATTTTAGAGATAATGAGTGGTGAAAAAAATTCTTACTACATCAATCTTGTAAAATATGACCATAGTGGACTTTGCATGTGCACCAATAAAGCAAATGCTCCGTATCTGTATAATAGATATTTACACAAAGGAGAGAAACAATTTTAACTAAACTTTCATTACTTTTAAAAGAAATGATGAATTTGTTGGAAAAAAGGATGAATTTGTTGAAATGATAAAATAAAGAAAATGGAAAAAAAATTGTGAGAAAGACTCAACATAAATATTCCATGAGGGTAATGATTTTTTTATTGGGACTCATTTCAATTCTAGACCAGAACAGGTCAAATCAGATTTAAACGATCAAACCAACCAAACTTAAACATGTTAGATGAGACTACATTTCGACAATTATAAAATACGCATATACCCGACATACAAAGACTAGACCTGATGCATGTTTGACAGATATAAACTTCCGCCTTCTAGCTTTTGGACTGTTTAAAAAGCCTCTAAAAATTTCTAGTTGTATGTTTGACATGACAATTTTTAAGAGCTTTACAAAAAACAAAAGATCTTTTTTTGAGATGCTACAAGGAGTGACATTTAAGAAAAGTCTGTGACTCTTAGGGGGGTGTCCCCGATTTGGATTTTAATGGATTTTAAAAGATTTTAGAATTCTATCATAATCTGGGTGTCCTCAATTTGGAGTTCAATGGATTCCATTAAAATCTGGGTGTCCTCAATCTTTCCATGGATTTCAATTGTTATTGTTCTCATGGATTTTAAAGGATTCTAGTAGATTTTCTATGCATAAAACATTCCATCCAAAATATCTTCAACCCCCTTCAGATTTTGAAATCCATCTCATATAAAACCCACGTCAAGAACAACCCAGCCAAGGAATGTGAAACAGGAGAACAGAATGCTACTTATCACAACACTTGGCTAGCGCACTGACTTCTTCCACCTGATCCAATGCCTGAAACGTTCCAAAAAAATGTCAAAACAATTCATCTAGTAGTGTTTTCAGAATATAGGAGGAACTCTTGGTTGATGGAGAGAGAGCACAGGAAGCAACGTGAATTGCCTTCTGAGCAATGCGATGGTTGATGGAGAGCGTTTCTGGATGGTAGAAGATCTGGGGCTCTGGCGGGCAAGGAGGAGTGTTTTCAGAATAGAAATTCGAGAGTATTGAGAGAAGCCAGCAGATCCGGCGTGTCTGTACGGGTCTCCAATACTTTCTTCAGCTTCCGGGAAAAGAAAGGGAAAAGCAATACACGTTATAGAATCGAAGGATTGTAGAATTGAATGAACTTCATTAGAATGTCACACATTCTATACAATTCCATAAAAATCCATCAAAATTTTAATACTTTAAAATCATTTAAAATCTGAATTGAGGACAACCCTTTAGTGTTAATTATTTCTAATAGCTTGCATACTAAATAAAATTAAATCAAATCGTTAGCTTTTTATCAAATCATCGCCGCTTAAAATTAGATTTTTCTTTTATGATTCCAAAATCTAAACCCCTAATATGGACTCAACATATATGTCGAATACAACACTCTGAACTGACCTTCAGGCCTGCTTAATACGGAGTATAACCCTTTTCTCCAGAACTAGAACCAGAGCAGATTTCCGCCCTCGGTAGGTATCGATCAACTTTATTCTTTATTTCGTGAATTGTAATGATGTACAGGCCTGCGCCAATGTTTCCGATTAAAATTTCAAACTCTTCCGTTTGCTTTTTGAAACTAAGCTTTATCAGTTCATTTTGTTATTGATTTAAATTTGAATTCATTCTTGGTACGATCCGATTCTTCATGTTTTCGGTGGATTTAGGCAATATATAAACTATGGCTCGTTACTTTTTAAATCCAGGTACTTGATTCATACAAACTCACCTCTAAACGGCTCGAGAAACTAGGGCTAAAGCATCAGCGCAAGGTTAATTGAGGATTCATAATGGACGATGAGATACAGAAGACCCAGGAGGAGAGGAAGAAAATGGAGCAGCAGCTTGCTTCTCTTACTGCCGTGGCTTTTGATAAGGATCTGTACAGTTCTGACAGGTTTGAGGGGTATGAGAAGTCGATACCTGTCAATGATGATGAAGATGCTTTTGAGAACACGGAAAGTGAGATTGCTCGAAAGATGGCATCCTTCACAGCCCCAAAACAGTTGTTAAACGAGGCTCCCAGGAGTGGTGGAGATGAGGATCATAATTTAGGTTTTAACAAACCAAGTAAGATCATTGATAGGGAGGATGATTATCGTAAACGGAGATTGAACCGAATTATATCACCTGAAAGGAATGACCCTTTTTCGGACAAGACACCTGGTCCGGATGAGAGGACATATGCTGATGTTATGCAGGAGGAGGCTCTTAAAAGACGAAAAGAAGATTTGATGAGGGAAATTGCGAAAAAGAAGAAGGAAGAAGAAGAAGCAACAAAGACCGAAAAGGATGGAGAGAAGTCATCGGCTCAGAAGAGGAGGAATAGGTGGGACCAGTCTCAGGATGAGAACAGTGTGAAAGAGAAAAAGAAGGCCAAGTCAGGTTCTGACTGGGATCTGCCTGACTCAACTCCTGGGATTGGAAGGTGGGATGCAACTCCCACTCCTGGAAGGGTTGGTGATGCTACTCCCTCGGTGAGACGGAATAGGTGGGATGAAACCCCTACCCCAGGTCGGGTGGCTGATTCTGATGCCACCCCTTCTGCTGGTGGAGCTACTCCTGGGGCTACGCCTGCCGGAATGACATGGGACTCTACCCCAAAAAATTTGGGTCTTGCTACCCCTACACCCAAAAGGCAGAGATCAAGGTGGGATGAGACTCCTGCAACCATGGGGAGTGCAACACCAATGGAAGGTGCTACACCATCAGGGGCTTATACGCCGGGTGTAACTCCTATTGGGGGAATTGAACTTGCAACCCCGACTCCTGGTTCCCTTAACATGCGGGGTCCTCTTACACCTGAACAATATAATCTAAGTAGGTGGGAAAAAGACATTGAAGAAAGGAACCGCTACTTGACAGATGAGGAGCTCGATGTGATGTTTCCTCAAGAAGGATACAAGATATTGGACCCCCCAGCTGCCTATATTCCAATAAGAACCCCTGCTAGAAAACTTCTTGCCACCCCAACCCCAATGGGGACTCCTTTGTACAACATTCCAGAGGAAAACAGGGGCCAACAGTTTGATGTGCCAAAAGAAATGCCTGGTGGTCTGCCACTTATGAAACCAGAGGATTTCCAATACTTTGGCTCCTTGTTGAATGAAGAAAATGAAGAGGAGTTGTCTCCCGATGAGCAGAAGGAACGGAAAATTATGAAACTCCTGCTGAAGGTCAAGAATGGCACACCCCCTCAGAGAAAAACAGCTTTGAGACAGCTGACAGATAAAGCCAGAGATTTCGGTGCAGGCCCGCTCTTCAACCGAATTCTTCCATTGCTCATGCAACCGACATTGGAAGACCAAGAAAGGCACTTACTGGTGAAAGTTATCGATAGGGTGCTCTACAAGCTGGATGAGTTGGTTCGTCCATACGTGCACAAGATTCTTGTGGTGATTGAGCCTCTACTGATTGATGAGGATTACTATGCTCGTGTTGAAGGAAGGGAGATTATTTCCAACCTTAGCAAGGCAGCCGGTTTGGCAACTATGATTGCCGCCATGCGACCGGATATCGATAACATTGATGAATACGTGAGGAACACCACAGCCAGAGCCTTCAGTGTTGTTGCCTCTGCACTTGGTATTCCCGCCTTGCTGCCGTTTCTCAAAGCAGTTTGTCAGAGTAAGAAATCCTGGCAGGCTCGTCATACAGGTATAAAGATTGTTCAACAGATTGCGATTTTAATTGGCTGTGCTGTTCTTCCACACTTGAGATCTTTGGTGGAAATCATAGAGCATGGGTTGAATGACGAGAACCAGAAGGTTCGAACCATTACGGCTCTTTCCTTAGCTGCTCTTGCTGAGGCTGCTGCACCATACGGTATTGAGAGCTTCGATTCAGTATTGAAGCCCTTATGGAAGGGTATCAGATCACACCGTGGAAAGGTTTTGGCCGCATTCTTGAAGGCAATTGGTTTTATCATTCCACTTATGGATGCCATTTACGCCAGCTATTATACAAAGGAAGTGATGGTCATTCTCATCCGTGAATTTCAATCGCCGGATGAAGAGATGAAAAAAATCGTGTTAAAAGTGGTGAAACAATGTGTGAGTACGGAAGGTGTGGAACCTGAGTATATTAGGACTGATATCCTTCCAGAGTTCTTCCGTAATTTCTGGGTTAGGAGAATGGCATTGGATCGCCGAAACTACAGGCAGCTTGTAGAAACTACAGTAGAAATTGCAAACAAGGTGGGCGTTGCGGATATAGTGGGCAGAGTTGTTGAAGACCTAAAAGACGAAAGTGAACCGTATAGAAGAATGGTGATGGAGACTATTGAGAAAGTTGTTGAGAATCTTGGTGCATCTGACATAGATTCTCGTTTAGAAGAGCTTCTGATTGATGGAATCCTTTATGCTTTCCAAGAGCAGACCAGTGATGATGCAAACGTGATGCTAAATGGATTTGGTGCCGTGGTCAATTCCCTTGGACAGAAAGTGAAACCATACCTTCCTCAGATATGCGGTACAATAAAGTGGCGTCTTAACAACAAGAGTGCTAAGGTGAGACAACAAGCTGCCGATTTGATATCCAGAATCGCAGTGGTCATGAAACAGTGTGGTGAGGAACAGTTGATGGGCCATCTTGGTGTCGTCCTGTACGAGTACTTGGGAGAAGAATACCCTGAGGTTCTTGGATCCATTCTGGGTGCCCTCAAGGCGATTGTGAATGTTATTGGTATGACTAAAATGACACCTCCAATCAAAGATCTGCTTCCCCGATTAACTCCTATTTTGAAAAATCGGCACGAGAAAGTCCAAGAGAACTGTATCGATCTGGTCGGGCGTATTGCAGATCGCGGGGCTGAGTTTGTACCTGCGAGAGAATGGATGCGGATCTGTTTCGAGCTTCTTGAGATGCTCAAGGCACATAAGAAGGGTATCCGGCGGGCAACAGTCAACACTTTTGGATATATAGCTAAGGCAATTGGACCCCAGGACGTTCTTGCTACCCTGCTGAACAACCTCAAGGTGCAGGAACGTCAGAACCGTGTGTGCACAACAGTAGCAATTGCAATCGTGGCTGAAACCTGCTCTCCCTTCACAGTCCTACCCGCACTAATGAATGAATACCGGGTCCCGGAGCTTAACGTCCAGAACGGTGTCCTAAAGTCCCTTTCCTTTCTGTTCGAGTATATTGGTGAGATGGGGAAGGACTACATATATGCTGTGACTCCTTTGCTTGAGGATGCTTTGATGGATAGGGATTTGGTACACAGGCAAACGGCAGCTTCTGCCGTGAAGCACATGGCATTAGGGGTAGCTGGTCTTGGATGTGAAGATGCACTGGTCCACCTTCTGAATTACGTATGGCCAAACATTTTCGAAACATCCCCTCATGTGATTAATGCAGTCATGGAGGCAATTGAAGGTATGCGGGTGGCGCTTGGTGCTGCTGTGATCCTGAATTATTGTCTGCAGGGACTATTCCACCCGGCACGGAAGGTTAGGGAGGTTTACTGGAAGGTTTATAATTCGCTGTACATTGGAGCTCAGGATGCTCTTGTGGCGGCTTACCCTGTTCTGGAGGATGAGGGTAACAATACATACAGCAGGCCCGAGTTGACTATGTTTGTCTGAGTTTTCCCTCCTGCTTCAGGTTTGTTGTGCCTCTTCTTATGATCAATGAATCTGTTTGTTCGGCTTCAGATGTAATCTGGATTATGCAGCCACCATATGAAGGCACTGGCTCTATGTTTTGATATTGCTGAACAATTCTGTTCTGAAGTTGCTTTATTTTTATATGTTTGTAGCCTTCATATGCTTGTTTATCCATATGGTGTACTTCGTACCTGTATTTGTTTCTTTTGTTGTTTATTTTCAACAGGAAACGTTGGGGGATGGTAATGTTAGTTTGGACTTCCAGACTAGTTAGACGAACATTATTATTGACACACTCCAGTAAATGGAGTATTGAATAAGGATGTACGTAGGGAGGATGGCTTGGGAAAATACCAGGCAATAGTAAAACAATGTCAATTTCACCCCAAGTAATATTTAGACATCTCACTAGTCTGCATGAAACAGTCAGGAATGCTTTGCATTTCATGTTTGTGTGGGTGAGATTGGTTTTGACCGTTTTGTTCTAGTTTTCCTGGATAATTATCTTTTGCATACCCCTACTACCACTCATATGGAGGAGATATCACACCTTTTTCCAGGCTTTTCACATGGTTTTTCTTGAGCAAGTTTTTTGCGTGGCAACTATGGACGAGGGTGGAGCACTTTGTGTGAAACTGTGAATTCGAGTTCCCGACTTGTTACAACACCCCCTTTGACAAATGACAAACTCTCTTGCAAATAAAACATACTACGTAGGTTTTATGAGGAAATGGATTCATCTCGGAGAACACATGGTATGATGGTAATCTGGTTTTGTAGTTTCAGAGACTATTCTTGTGTCGGTCTACAATGGATCAGTTATTCTCTTACTTCCCGTAACTCCATCTTTTGAGACATGTGTTACTTTCACTAATACCCAGATTACCCTTTATCTGTATTATTTAGTGAATAGAAATTGCCTATATTATGATTATTATGAAAATAGTCTCCTTCCAGTCTCTTAGAAATGTTAGTCCTATAAAGAGTAACTTGAAAACTAGTTTGGTTGAAAAGTCTCAATACTTTTGATAAAAAATAATTCACGCAAGACAAAAGTAAAATGCATCCAACCAACATTGGATTCAAAGTTTCTTTACAGCCTTCACTTGATAAAGCTACGTCCAGAACTACGATTATTCACACTCCGAAATTGAGGCCGTCCCCGTGTAGTCCTTTGCCATAATCCATAAGATTTCTCCATACTTTTCTAGCTGACACACATTAGCTGAAGATAAAATTTCTCCGTGTGCCCAATAATACCTTACAACAAATAGAAATTGGGTAATTTTTCATAATCAAAACCCACCCATTGGCTGTTAGCCTGTTACCACCCTTTTCTAGCTTCAATCTCCATTCAAGAGGCTTTCCTATTCCAAAAGTTACTCGAATACGCATATAATCATTCTAAACACTTATTTGAATAGTTCAAAAAAATACCGACCCCCCCCCCCCCCCCCCCCAATTGCATTGAGCCATTGATAGTGCCACTAATGGAGAGAAGATCGCCATCCTATAATTTTCGTAAAACAATCAGATTTTTATTAGAAAAAAAAAGGGGAAAGTTCCCGAAATAGGACTAAAATAGTTTGAAAATTCCAAAATAGGACTGTCATGTTTTTTATTCCCAAAATAAAAGTAATTACTGCCAAGTTTGGAAAATACTGCCATGTTTGAAGTCTGGTACTGCCAAAACATGACAGTAATTAGTCCTATTTTGGAAATAAAAACATGTCAGTCCTATTTTGGAATTTCCAAACTTTTTTAGTCCTATTTTGGGTAAATTCTCAAAAAAAAGATGTCAACGAACAACATTTAAAATTAAATTCATATCACTCTAATGATAAAATTGGAAACTGTCTTGGTCCCAGATCATTAAGAGCATCTCCAATGCTAGAATGTCCACGGTGCACATGTGGCATGAGTGATAGCCACATAAATATTAAGAAATAAATTATTTCTCTCCTTATTTGAATGATTTTATACAATTTTGGTAAGTTTTTCCCTGCAATGTCAACAACAATGTCAACATCTAGACGGTCTCCTTTACTAATATTTATGTGGTTATTTCTCATGCCACCTGTGCACCGTGCACATTTTACCATTGGAGATGCTCTAACCAAGACACCTCTAGCAATAGGGGTGGACACGGTCTTGGTCCGAACAGCTTTTGGTCATAAATTGGCCTGTCCAGTTTTTTTTTTTTTTTAAATTTGTTAATACGTTTTCAAACCCTTTACCATCATTCCCACGCCCTCTCCACCTAAGGGTGTACTCGGTTCGGGCCGGGCCCGGTTCGGGCTTTGAACCAGCCGGGCCTCAGTTCAAGGTAGGGGAGGCCCGGAACCGGCCCGGGTAACCCCCGGGTCCGGTTCGGGCCGGGCCCGGTTCGGTTCTTTTTTTTTTTTTTTGGGTTTTCCTAATCAACCCCCTACCCTCCCCCTCAACCCCAAACCACCCCAAATCACCTCAAATGGTCCAAAATACCCAATCCAACCCAAAAACTTGAAAAAATTCAAAAAAAAAAAAAAAATTAAATCCGGCCCGGACCGGATTTTGAGATGGGTTGGCCGAGCCCGGCCGGTTCACCAAAATGAAGGCCTGAGCCCGGAACCGGTAGCCACCGGGCTGGGTCGACCCGAACCGCCCATGGGCCGGGCCGCCGGGCCGGTTCAAACAGTGACCGGGCCGGGCCGGTTCAAACAGTGACCGGGCCGGGCCGGTTCCGGTTCGGGCCGCCCGGCCCGAGTCCACCCCTATCTCCACCCTTTTAAGCTCTTAAATATACCCTCACCCCTTATAAAATGTTTCCCAATGCTTCAAATGCAAAAAAACTAAAACGAAATCAAAACTAGGACAGTGGTGGACTCGGGCTGGTTTGGGGCCGGGCCTAGGCCCAACTGGGCCGCCGGTTATGAAATGTTGGGCCCGGGACCGGACCAGGTAGCCACCGGGTCTGGGCCGGGCCTCGGGCCTCTTACATTTTTTCCCTTTTTCTAATTACCCCCCAACCCCCAAACCACCCCAAATGGCCCAAATACCCAGCCCAACCCGGGGATTTAAAAAAAAGTTGAAAAAAAGCCCGGAACCGGGCCCGGACCGCCCGGGCCGGTTCATGTTTTGGGTGACCCGAGCCCGGACCGGAAACCTCTTGGGTTGGGCCTACCCGGACCGGTCACTGGCCGGGCCACTGGGTCGGGCCGGGCTAGAACAGTGCCGGTTCCGGGTCGGGCCACCTTGCCCGAGTCCACCACTAAACTAGGATTAGATGGGCTATCCATGTCCCAAGAAATGAGAGCCATACCTAATACCCCTTTCTTATTAGTCCGGTCTCAGTCTTGACCGACATCTTATTTTATGATTTCAATTTGAAAATCAACTAGTTCTGGTTAGATCCCGGGATTGTGTCCACTCATACACAACATGTTTTCACAGTGCAGAAATAGTATCTCGAGTAACAAAATATGTACCAACTGTTAGAATGCGAATTCAATGTTAGACTGTATCAATTATCGACAAATACAGATCATCTTGGTATAAAAAATCGTGATTAGTTTTCAAAAGCATGCCATTTTCAATGTGTTATTTTGACAAACCAACAAGTAACAACATTTTTCTCGATTATTTAGTGACAAAAGAATTAAAGGAGGTGATAGAATGAAACGATTTCTTTACTTGTCTCCAACTACAAACATCATGTTTGTCTCCAACTGCATTTGAAACCAGATTGAAGTGTAATGTATGAATTAAGTTTAGGTGCATCCATGAAACGAAGTAAATTAAAAGGCCTCATATGACATTATACATGTCTAGGAAGACAAATATCATACATGCCTTTGGAGGAATATCGAGAAGTTAAAGTGTAGGATAGTTTAATGCAAAAAACTCCCTTCTAATATACTTCCTCTTCTTTTTAGTTGCAATGATTCAATTGTCATATTTGTCAACACACAATCATTAATACGGAGTATAATTCATTCCTTATTACTAAAAAAGTTTAAAAAAAATCAGATTACAATTCACCAATGTTGCAACTAAAAAAAGAACAAGTGAATTCCTTTATTTTTGAGCACATGTGTAGTCATATCAAAGAGGATTTTGGTGTATTTTCTGAATCACAAGAACTTAATTATACATATGGAATATGTAGGTCCGTTCGTGCTTCGCGGTTCCGAATCGAATCGGAATCGGACCGTCGATTTCCAATTTTAAATTTTGGACACTCTGACCCGCACAATATCGATTTCTAAAAGCTAAGTTATACTACGTATATTTTTTGGTTATAGTTTTTTGTTCCTAGATTTAAAAGCTGAGTTATTTTTTTTAAAACTATATTAAGTATTACTACGTAACTAATAATATTACTCAAATAAAATTGTCCCAAAAGCAGTAAATAAAATTTCATATTGTTGTAACTAATTAAGTAAGGTAACTAGCTAAACAGCTAATAGCCTAATGGTTATTGCGTATATAGTAAGCCGTACGAGTCTACAAGACTACAAGTCACATTTTTAGATGTTTTGGTAATGACACTATTAAACTTATTGCTCATAACTTTAATAGAGAAAATATATATCTATATTATATTTATATTTAAAAACGGAAAAGTGCAGAACTTATTTGGGTGCCAATTTGAGCAGGCTCGTGCGATGTACGCTTAAGCAAAAAAGTTGAACCAACAGGGTGCATTACGCTTAATTTAGCAAAGCAGTGGAAAAAGTAGGGGCGGGCATAAAACCCGAACCGAATCGGTACCAAACCGTCCCGTAATGGTACCGAACCGAATACCGGGTATTTAAATGGTTCTATAGATTTTTGTCCTGTACCGAAACCGTACCTTTTGAAACGGGTACGAGACCGGTCCTAGATTTTGAGAACCGAAAAATACCGGACTGAACCGTTCGAAAATAATGCATATGATTTTTTTATATTTTTTTTCTATACCCATGGATCTCTTTTATAGACAAACAATTTTAGAGCCCAAGTATGCATTCATGCATCCCTAAAATACCTAAATCAATATATATATATAAAAGAGGAACTTTTCAAGAGCATACGGAGTGCCACCTAAGTCTGCCATGTCATCATACATAACTATTATTTAATTACTTTTATTTATATACGTTTTGTATTAGTTACTAAATCTGATTTAATTAGTAAACTTATACCATATCTTATTTCGTAAATCCTTTAGTAAACTTTTAATATATAGGTTTTGTATTAGTTACTAAATCTGATTTAGTAGACTTATACTATATCTTATTCCATAAATCTTTTAGTAAACTTTTAATATATGTTATTGATTTTAGTATTACGTATTTTAGCAAACTTTTTGGTATATTTATTCGGTAACTTTATATTTTATTTTGTGAGAAACTCACACTTTATTATCTATGTTGATTTTAGCAAACTTTTAGAATATATATTACGTTTCCTAACTTTGGAGTAAACTTTTAATATATTTTATGTTTCTAAATTTAGAATTAGAAACATAAAAACTACCTATAGTGCACAAATAGGCTATTATATATATATACAAAGAGAATGCAAACAAAAGTGTATTTTCACTATTGGCTTTCTCCTTAGTTTGAAGAATTCTATTGCTTAGTGTTCTTATATCAAGAATGTCATCACAGTAAGTTTCTACAACATTTTTAATGATATATTATTGAATACTACGTTCATATGATATTTTACCATTTACATGTTTATGATACATGATATTATTATACATTATACCCGATTCATTAATATTCCATAAACTTGATTAATATTATGATAAACGTGTTTACTTTTTTGGGCTGAGCTAAACATATTACTTGTGAAAATACATACGTACTACGGAGTATATATATATTTATATAATCAAAATTATTCTTTTTCAATGATTCCATACATGAACATGTCATAATATAAAATAAATTCCATTTTGAATTTATAAAATCGTGTGGCTGCATTTTCATCATTCGA